GCTCTGACAGGAATATACCACAAATGGGATGGCTTAAACAAACAGGAGTTTATTCTCTTACAGTTTGGAGGCTTGAAGTCGAAGTTCAAAGTGCCAGGCTCTAGGGGCTGGGTGAAAGCTCCTCAGCCTTGAGCTTCAGCTCTGCCTCCAGCTCCCGGCCCACTGGAGCCAGAGGCTTTTCTTTATTCAAACAGCTGCTGGCTGCTGAGGCTGCCAAGCCCAAGGTTGACAAGTAACAAGGCACAGTCCCGATGTTACCAAATCACACGGCAGGCCATTAAGTCCATTGTAAATCCCAAGGTTGGCAGAGTATGGCAGGCTGCTGAACAACAACACGGCTACATGCAGGGTTCAAGGTGCCATAAGCTAGAGACCATTCCCAAAGCTGCTGCTTATAGACAGGAAGCAGACCACATCCCAAAGGAGCTACTCAGCTCCTTGTGGTAGATCCCACCATGGAGTTGATTGCCAGGCTCATCATGGGAATAACTACCACCAGCTGCCCAGCTGCTTACCAGGCCCAGCCAGGTTGACACACAGACAGTAACCACCACACAGTTTCCCTGTCCTTCTGGAACGGTTCTTCCTGGATACAAACATTGGTGTGTATAATCCTTTCACGCCACTCTTTCCACACAGAAGGTTACCCCCTGTAACCTCACTGCTTGGCAGCTTTCTTCACTGCATCTTGGAGATAACCTTCTGTAGCATCTCTGGAAGAACTTCTTCCTTCCTCGTTACTGCTGGGTAGTCTTCCATCCTAGCAATGTCCCTCACTGTTGGACTGGCAGGCTGTCTCTAGTCTTGGGCCGTTATAAACAGTGTTGCAGCAAACAGCCAAGTACACACGTCGCTCCATTTATTGCTAACTTTTGTCATGGTGAAAACATATACAAGACATTCGCCAACGTAACAACTTCCCATTCACAGCTCAGGGACTTTGGTGGCATTTTTCACGTTGTGCCATTATTGCTATCTTTTCCAAAATATTCCACCACCATCATTAGCATAAACTCAATGCCCTGCAAACAAAGCTTCCCCTTTCCCCCTCCCTCCTACCCCTGGTAACCACTAATAATCTTTGGTTTCTCTCTCTATGTATATTTTTTTCCATCTATCCAGGAATTTTCCCTCCCCTTCCTGGTAACCAACAAAGAAAGTTTTCTGGTGTGTTTAAACCTTTCCTTGACTTTTGACAATAGGCATCATTCTCTTTAAATGCAAGTGACAAAAACAATAAAAGAGTAGCTGCTGAGACTGCTTAAGTACAACCCCAAACCTCATGGGGTTCTTCATGGGTTCCTTGGTTTGGAGATACAGGGTCATGGTCTCATGGGACACCCCAGTTATCAATCCCATCCTGTGTTTAGTGCTTCTGTTCTACCTCCTAGCTCCTTGCATGGTGTCTGGGGTCTTAAAAGCTTGCAAGCAGCCATCCAAGGCACCACTGGCCTCTATTTGCCTGGGGCATCAGAAGAATAAAGGGAGTCAGGAGGAGGAGGAGGGTACGGAATGTGTGGCTACTGCCTCCACTATCAACTGCTTCCTTTGCTGTGGGACCAAAACTGGATGGTGCCCAGCTACCATTGCTGAACATTTTGATCCAAGATTCTATAGACGAATTCCTGATCAAAAGGGGGGAAAATACAGAACAGACTCTAAAATTTTTATGGAATCCAGACTTTCTGCAGATATGGGCCTAGATGAGTCCTGAAATTATTGCCCTGAGATAATCTTTAAACCTTAAACCAAAAATATCCCCTTGAAGTCTTCTTTAAACCAAGCACTAGTGTGGCTTAACTCGTAAAACATGTCTGCCTGAAGCATGACACTCTCTTAAGATCTATCTACATGGGATCTAAGTGACAACAGCAACTGGAAAGATTAGACAAGGACCTCGGGGCAGTGGGTGCATGTTTGCGGGGGAGGAACAACTCCGAAACGGAGGGTGAGGGTGGCCTCAAAGATCGTCATCAGCGTCACTGAGTTGTACATGGAGAAGCTGTTTGAATTGGTGTATGTTTGGCTATGTATGTTGTCAACAACAATAACAAAAGATGCAAGAGAAAAAAAAGTTCAAGTGAACCTGTCAGCTTGATTTCGAGAACTGTTAGCTCAAAGTGTAGGTGCTGTTGTAATTTTCAGAAGTCTCTACATTGAACCTCATAGATGTTGTATCAAATTCCACATCCATCTGCAGAACCTGTTTCCTGTACCCAAACCACCCCTGTCCAATTCTAAAGTATTTTTTCCCTTCTCCTCAACGATTTTAGAGGAGCCCTCCTAAGGACATTGATGGCTAACCAGAAGGTTGGCGGTTCAAACCCATAAGCCACTCTGCAGAAGGAAGATGGGGTAATCTACTTCTGTAAAGATTTACCACCTCAGAAACCCAAAGGGGTTGCTATGAGTCAGAATTGACTCCATGGCAGTGGGTTTGGGTTGGTTTTGGGTTTTGAGTGATTTTAGTGGAGCCTTGGTGGCACAGTCGTTAAGTGCTGGGCTACTAACCAAAAGCAGGCAGTTCAAACCCACCAGCCGCTCTGTGGGAGAGAGATGAGGCAGACGGCTTCCATAAAATAAAGACTGACAGCCTTGGAAACCCTGTGGTGCAGTTCCACTCTGTCCTCTAGGGGCGCTGTGAGTCAGAATCTATTCGAAGACAAGTTTCGGTTCAGTGGTTTAAATATATGTCTAGGTCATTATAATTTGTGTTTTCCCAAAAAATTATGAATGAAGTTGAGCACCTTTTTGCAAACTTAAAAATAATTTGTATTTCTTTTAGTGTACACTTTTCTGGGTCTGTTTTCTTACCAGATTGGGTTTTTGGAAAGTGAGTTGTAGGAAGACTTTCTATGTTGGTGAGTGAATTAAAACATTTCCCCAGGTTTGTGTCATGCGGAAATGTTTTATTTTTCTGGAGTCAAGTGTATCAGTCTTTGCTTTTGTAACTTCTGTGATTCACCGTAGTTGGGGCCATCACCAATCCAAGATCTAAAACTGTTATCTTTTGGTTTATTCTACAATTTGTGTGGCTTAAATTCTTTTTTTTTCCACTTAAATCTTTCATCTACCTGGAGTTTTTCCTCCTGTGATGTATGAGGTAGGGATCCAGTTTAATTTTTTTTTTTTTTTTCCTGTAATCTAGACGGATGTTTGGTTATCTCAACAAGTTGAATTGCTGGTGCTTTCTGCCATTGGTTTATAATCTGTTTTCTAGTCCGTTCCACCGCTCAGCATAGCAATGCCATTTTGTTTATTATTCCACCCACCCATACTTCAGTGTTTCTCTAATATTCACGGGCTCCCTTTCTGAACCTTTTATTTTACTGTGGTGAAAATGCACATGACAGACCATATGCCATCTCAACCATTTCAGCTGGCACATCGTTGCCTTGAACGCAAGGCCGCTTAAAACGTCATCCCTGAGATCAGGTCATGCCTGAGAAATCGGAACAGTGACGTGACGTGGTTTAAGCAGGGGGCGGTCTCTGCGTGTCTGCTCGACTCTCATTGGTCTCTGCCTTCGCTTTCTTGGGTCTTCGCGCCCTCGGCGTCCCTGCGGCGTCCCTGCGTCCCTCGGCGTCCCTCTCCACCCCCGTCTGTGACTCGGTGTGCGTCTTGCACCAGCCTGGCTCTGTCTGCGTCTCTCCCCGTGGCTCTGTGTCTTGGTCTCTGTCGCTCCGCCCTGACTCTCCGCCATGGCCTGTGGTCTCCGAGCCCCTGACCCTCTCTCCTCCCGCAGCTCTTCGAGGGCATGAAGGCGTTCAAGGGCCGGGACCAGCGGGTGCGACTGTTCCGACCGTGGCTCAATATGGACCGGATGCTGCGCTCGGCCCAGCGCCTGTGCCTGCCGGTGAGGGCCCTGCGCGCGCCAGAGGGGGGCGCTGCGGCGCGGCCCGGGCGGCGGCTGACACCCCGACGTCTGCCCAGGGTTTCGACAAGGTCGAGCTTCTTGAGTGCATCCGGCGGCTCATCGAAGTCGACAAGGACTGGGTCCCGGAGGACGCGGGCACCAGCCTCTATGTGCGGCCGGTGCTCATCGGGAACGAGGTGGGGACTTCCGGGACTGGGGGGGTTGCGCCCCGGAGTCGGAGGTTGGCGGGGACTAGGGGCAGGACTCCTGGGTCCGGGGGAGGAGGGGGGGAGGGCTGCAGACTCACTCCCGGGTCCCTGATGCCGCCTTCCCCTCTGTCCTTCGCAGCCCTCCCTGGGCGTCGGCCAGTCCACGCAAGCCCTTCTCTTCGTCATCCTCTGCCCCGTGGGCTCTTACTTCCCTGGAGACGCCGTGACCCCTGTCTCCCTCCTGGCGGACCCGACCTTCGTGCGGGCCTGGATGGGTGGCGTTGGCGACTGCAAGCTGGGGGGGTGAGCAGCTGCCTCATAGCCCTCGGGCCCCGGGGGGTGGAGACGCAGGTTCCGGTGGCCATATCCTCCGTGCGTCTTTGGCGTCCCTTGTCCTCCCGGGTCCTGTTTCATGTGACACCCCTGCTCTGACTCCTGGCTTCCTCCTGTGCAGAGCAGGGGGGCCCTGCAGCACTGATGGGGCTCTGTGATCTCCCCTGAAGTCAGACTGTGGGAGGAGGGCATTACACGTGGCCAAATAGGCTCAGAGACCGGAAGCGCTGGCCGCAGGTCACTGGGGAGGCCAGGATTGGGCCTCGGGAAGAACCGGTTGTCCATAAGTCAGCGCCCGCTCGTGGCCGTAGCGCCTCCCCGTGTGTCCGAATACAACTGTGGAGTTGCCCATGGCTGTATTTTGGAATTAGATCCCCAAGCCTCTCTTCCGAGGTGCCCCGAGTCTAACCTTCTAGTTAGCGGTCAAGTGCATTAACCGTGTGCACAGCCATGGCTTCGCAGCTCTTCAGAAGCCTCCAGAAAGGAAGTCTAGACTTAGGTCAACGGTCTCCCCAGGAAGCCTCCCTGAACACCCATGTTGTACCGACCTCACAGGGACTTTTGTAAATCCGCCCACCCCAGAGCTTTGACTGGAGAAAGGGAGGACACCGTCTGGTCTCCAGGGGGTTCCGTGGTGGTCCAAGGAGAGGGAGAGGCATGGATCCTGTTGGGACCGGAAGTGCAGCCCAACTAGGGATTCTTTTCATACACATCTTCTGAGGTCCCCTGAGGCCCAGGTCCTGTGGGGACACTGGGGATACAGATGTGTCCGACCCAAGCCCTGCCCTGCCAGGGGTTCCAGGCTGATGGGAGCCCCACTGTCCAGACTGACGTTTCCTCTGGGAGGGTGTTGGGAAGGCCCAGCAATGGCCTGACCCGGTAACAGCCTGGGAGATGCAGAGGGTGTCATGGAAGAGGTGGCCCTTCAACTGAAGCTAGTGGGGAGGAAGGCGATGGTTTCCTGGGTACAAAAGGTAGAAAGTTTTGAATCCTGGCGACCTGTGGGGGTGGGAGTGGGGGTGAGGCAGGGCTGGGGAAGGTATCCAGACACGAAAAAACGTGACCAAGTTGTTGCAGGAGGCGGAGCAAATGCTCCCGGTGCACCCCGAGCAGGTGAGGCCTTGAGTGCCGGGCTAAGCGGCTGGGACCCTGTCCAGGGGGCACTGAGGAGCCATGGAGGGCTGTGAGCCACGGAGGGGCAGGGTCTGCGGAACGGAGCGGGGAGGACGGGGGTTTCCCGAGGCCAACCAGGCTGCCCTCCGCCAGGAACTACGGGCCCACCGTCTTTGTGCAGCAGGAGGCGAAGAAGCGGGGCTGCGAGCAGGTCCTGTGGCTGTACGGGCCGGACCACCAGCTCACGGAGGTGGGCACCATGAACATCTTCGTCTACTGGACCCACGAGGATGGGGGTGAGCCCACCCAGGACCCAGCGAGGCCCGGGCCCTTGCCCAGACCCCACAGGGGATGCGCGTGACAGCAGTTCCTATCAGATCACTGGCTCCCGGAACTCTGGGGGTTGGGTGGCCTAAGGGGCGGGGTGGACCTGAGGGCCGGAGGTGACACCTCTCACCCCTTCCGGCCCCCCAAGCGTTGGAGCTGGTGACCCCTCCACTGGACGGTGTCATCCTGCCTGGAGTCCTCAGACAGAGTGTGCTGGACCTGGCTGAGACCTGGGTGAGGGCGCCGGGGGTGGCAGGACCCAAGCTTTGGGGGGACGGGGGCGCGCCTCTCGCTGGCTTTCGGCTTCCGCGACTTGGGTCTCTGGGCTGGGGAGGCCGGGGACCGCAGCAGCGCCGCCACCGTCCGCTGCCCCCGCAGGGTGAGTTCCGGGTCGCGCAGCGCAAGGTCACCATGAAGGAGTTGCTGCGGGCGCTGGAGGAGGGGCGGGTGCGCGAAGTGTTCGGCTCGGGCACCGCCTGCCAGGTCTGCCCGGTCCACCAAATCCTGTACCAAGGCAAGGTGAGGCCGGGCCGTCCGCGGCGGTGGGCGGGAAGAAGGGAGAGAGGCCCGGTCCTCACGGTTCCTTGTCCCCCAGCAACTTCACATTCCCACCATGGAAAACGGGCCCCAGCTGATCCTCCGCTTCCAGAAGGAGCTGAAGGCGATTCAGGTGAGGTTCACCCGCTGGGCAACAGGCCGCATGCTATGCCCCCAGGCAGGTTCCCGGCCCGTCAGGCCCGGTGCTGAGAGCTGAGCTCCCCTGCAAAAGTCTGAGGAGCAGCTACAGCCAGGAACACCTCCCTGGGGCTGCAGAACTGTGCCTAGGAACCTCTGGAACCCGGGGCTAGCTCTCTGACTCGAGCAACCCTCTTCCCACGAGCCTCCGCGGCCCCTGGGGAAACGGGTGTGTGAATCCCCTTCCTATGAGTCAATGCGGCATAGCTTTCCTTGGGTATCCTTCCGCTGTAAGAAATCCCCTTCCCGTGATTCTCTGCACCTCTGGGGTTTTGTGTGAGAAATCCCCTTCCCGTGAGCCACTGCGGCCCTGGGTACCCTGGTGTGAGAAATCTCTTCCCATGATCCTCTGCACCTCTTGGGTTTTGTGTGGGAAATTCCCTTCCCGTGAGCCTCTAGGACCTAAGCCAGCTTTCTGGCCTCAGAAGTCCACCTCCGATGAGCCGTGAGCCTTAGGTTATCCCTTTGGCCTGGGAAGTCTTCCTCCCACAAGACTCTGGACCTTGCCTCCCTGTCTGGCCTAAGAATGGTTTGTCCCGTGAACCTCTGGAAGAATTGCCGTTTTTCTGAGCTGAGGTATCCTTCCTGAGTAGCTGTGGTCGCCTTTCCTGGCACTTGAGACCTAGCACAACTTTTGTGGTGAGCTTCTGTAAACTCAGGATCTAGAACTTGACCATCCCAGCGTTCTCAGCTGAGAACAACTTTTTCCAAGAGCCTTCGGAGCCTTAGAATAACTCACACAGAACTACATCTTCGAGGCTTCACTCT